ATGGCAATTTTTATTGTTGTCTTTTAACTGCTGGCGTGGTTTGTTCTTAATCCTTAGGAAGCCACCCAGAGTTGTTCGCAAGTGTGTGGCCTTAAAAATCGAAATGATAAATAAATACCAAGTGATATGACGATACTACTCTTGCAGGAAAAAAAACCCACAATGAACCCTAAAAAAAAAAAATCAAACCTGTTTTTTTTTTTAAAAAAAACAACCCTACAAGATGAAAAGAAAAACGCTATCGTCAACCCCCTAAGGATGGAAAAACAGAGAGAAAAAGAGACCCGCAAAACTTCTAGAAAAATAAAATAAAACAAAAAGGCAAAAAAGAAACAAAAATCCTAACAACTAAAACAAAGCTTTTTTTAAAAAGCGCACACGTACACACAGAGGGCGAAATGTATATCGAATTGCAAATATAAAAGAAAAAAAAATTAAGATAAGTGACTGCCCAGGGTAAGAGAAGGTGTGAGAACCTACCCACAGACCTTCTTCTCCATTCTGATCAGCCCTGGATTAACCATTAGGCAGAACAAGGAGGTGCTTGGGGCACCAAGGGAAGGGGGGCACCCCAGAGTCCCCCCCCCAGCTATCATGCCCTTAACTCTTTCACTGCCACACTCGACTTTAGTTTCCAGCACTTAATGAGTCTTAAGGTCTTGTCAGTTAAGCCATGGAAGGGCTGAGGGGCACCATTGTTGAGTTGGGCTGAGGGCATCAGTTGGCCTCAATCCAGCCCCGATTCTGATTCAGCAGGATATTCCTGCCAGTACCTTCCAATCAGGTGTAACTCCAGATCCACTGCCTACCTTTCTGCACTGGATACGGTGGTTCGATGCCCAGACAGTACTCCCAAAAATCAGGGCAACAGTCGGAGATGGTGCGGTTGCAGAAGAGGTCGCAGTAGCAAAGGGTATCAAAGTAGGGGATCGTGCAGGCGTCATCCCTTCCATGACAACAAGCATCGTGCCGACCACAGTAGGAGCCTTCCGCATCCCGTATCCCCCGTTCATGCAATCCAGGGGCCAGTTCCCTACGCGTACGATGTACCCGAGCAGGAAGAGTCCCATCCATCATCAGCAAGATGGACAGAAGAATCCAGGCTTTCATGGTGTCTTCTGAGCTGCCGAATCTCCTAGATCTTCTGGAGAGAGAAGACAAACCAGCCTGGAATCACACAGCACATAGCCCTGTTTGCCAAAAACAGACCCCTTTGGAAGGATATGCAATGCCCACAGGTGTGCAGGAAAGCACTGTAAGAAATAGCACTTCTTTGACCGAAGTGCAAGTGTTTTTCCTGGATCATCCAGGAAATTTCATTCAGGCAGCAGAAGTGGGGCACCCTAACGATAATCACAGACAACCTGATGTCAGTCCTTCAAGGTAGATCAGACTAGGAATCCAATATCATACAGGTCAGTACTACTTTTATTCTAAATAGGAACAGAATCGTGCAAGTCTGAATGGGCTTCCCCCCCCCACCCCCACCCCCTTCCCTTTATCTTTGTGAGAACTAGGGAGGGTCTTGTGGGAGACATTTCCTCAGATTACATTCCTGCCCCGGACTCAGGTTTCTTTTGTCTGAACATTGTCTTGGTAGTGGCTCTTCCTCCTGTCCCTCAAGGCCATTCCCTCTTTCCTCCACCCCTAGTTATTACTTGGATGGGAGACAGTAGTCTAGAGTGGGGAAACAACACCCTGGAAGGCAGGACTGGCACATCACTTGCATATTACAGCCATGAAACTACATGAAAGTGTCTGTGAAGTCACCAGGAGTTGAGGTCAAGGATGTCTTTACCTTACCTTAACCAAATGCTCCAAAACTCCCTCTTGGAGGGTCCTGTCCTGCTCTTTCCAGCACCTCAGCATGGATACGTTTTTGGTGTTTTACCCATCAAACCCAAACCTGACCTAAATCAGGCACACCGATGATTTCTGTTGCATCCTCATGTCTGTTGCTGGCTCCCCCATGTCTCCTGAGCACAGCCTTCCTACCCAGCTCTCAGAAGTGAGGAATGCATTCAGGACATTGTCCTGTTTACACGGCCATCCGGATGGAAAAAAGCAAGCAAAAGGTTTGAACTCTCGAACTAAAAGCAGCTCACTGAAAGGGGACGGGAGAGGATGGCCGTCCCACATCAGCCTGTTTGGTGGAGGCTCAGAAGCTGGGAGGTCACAGCGAGTTAATTCCATGACTCTGAGGCTCCCTCGGCTTCTCCCTTTAGCCTCATCCCCAACGCTGCAAAGTAGGTTTGGTGAAGGGCCCCTCCGCACGTCCTACCAGAAGAAGCCCACTAACCATTTGTGAAGGACATGAACACCCAATATTGCCTTCAACACATCCACAGCCCACAGCAAAAGCAGCCACACACACACACACACACACACACACACTTCTTTCCTTGCTGCACTTCATAAGTGGCATTTTTCCACTTTGGCTGGCCTAAAGCTCAGCCGAGCAATCAGCTGTGGTGAATCATTTCAAGGTAAGTTTAGGGACAGGGGTGCGGTGGGATGAGGGTTGGGTGCTCTGCTTCTATTGCCATCCAGTGCTAAGGGGGCAAGCCCCAACTTTGATCCTTGTGTCTTCTTAAACTATGTCAGGACTATGACTGAGGGTGGCTTAGCAGCTTAGCAGTTGTTCAGCTCCTTCATCTGTCCTGTGTCAGGCACCTTGACATGAAATGCCCAAAGGGATAAACCATCTGACAGCTTGGCATGATGGTCTGGTTCCCACAACATGCTGAGGTAAGGCCCGGGGTCTCCCCATACACCGAACCACAGACTGCCAACCCTATTTTCACCTGGTCTTTCAAGTGGTGCAAACCCAGCCCATGTGAAACGGCTTCCGCTCTCTCTTCCCAGGGAACTGGACACTATTACTACAGGTGTTGCCTCTTACCTGGGTTTTTTCTCTTAAATGTGCAAACGGACCAAAAAGCTGAACAACACAAACCTAGGATGCCCAAATGACTGTCCTGCTGGGGGATTCCTACAGAAGGAAATCTGGACCTGCAGCCAGTCCTGTGTCCCCTGTTTAAGAAGTTGCGCCCAAGTTGCGCCCAGCATCTGCTGTCCCTCCAGCCCTTTGTAAGGGGAACCTCTCCTGCTCTTCAGAAGTTTACTGGCATCTCTGCCAAACCTTCACCCCACCTGGAATGAGGGCGTCTCAGATGATCTCAGCCTGCAGCAATGCGGTAGGGTCACCATTCCCAAAAGCAGCCGTGGTGGCCACAATCTGGGGAGGAAGGAGCCGAGGGTCAAAAGGCAAGGAAGGAATTTCCGCCGCCTTTCCCATGCACCTTCCACTCTGTCTTCCGGGATGCGAGGCCATCCCACGGAGCTTCAAGTTTCATTTTGATTAACTTTGCTCCCTGACCTCTTTCAGCAAATCCAAGGCAACCACGGTTGCTTTCATACACATGTGCCTTATCTCCCCTGAACGGAAGTGTGTGCTGTGGGACCTCCAGCTACAGGGGTGTTCCAAGCTCAGAAGAGATGCATTTCCAACAGAAGAATTTGAAAAGGGGCAGGGGGAATGTGCAAAGATCCCAGATGTTCTTGAACTACTGGAGACCTTCCAGGTCCCTCTTGTGATCCAAGAAAGCTTATAGAGTTGTAAAAGCCGTGCTGGTGGAGATCTAGTTAAAGGTCTGTTGCATGCCCCACCCAGATACACCGGATGAAGGGAATCCATGTCCTGGCTGTGGCTCAAACGCAAACATCAGTGCACGTTCTGAGTTGAACGCATGTCAATAAATCTAAATGCTCAGAGTACAGCCCTATTTGAATGCCTAACGGATATGGATTTTTTTTAAAAAAAAATTCCGAAGCTTCAAAATAGCCCTGGAGAGAGTCGTTTATAAAATGGGGAAATGCCCTTCTATCTATGTCACCTTGGGAGAAAGGTAAGTGCGTTCTTTCCAAAATGTTTTTCCTAACCTTCTTTTCTATCTCGATGAGCGTCCTCTGGCAGACAGAGGATAAAAATCGAGCATATTGTCATTTAGGGCTGATTGATCAACCGGTTCTTTTATTTCAATACCCCTGAGTCTTAAAGAAATGCACGGGGCATTTTATTCTTTTAGAAATGCTGTTTTTCAATGCGGGCATGTAGCTTTGCCTACTCTGCATTGTGATCACCTGCTGTGCCCATTAAGCCAAGTTCCGCTCGATCAAACCCCGGGGCAGGGTGTGTTCACACAACACCCTTCACTTGCTTTCTGAATTAACCCATTCTCTGGACGGGCCCAATGCACCAAAGTTCCTGAAATGATCCAAATTGCTTTGGGTTCACCCAAGGTGCCAAACTGCCTCAAAAGCAAACGGTTTGCATTCCCCAAGCTTGGCACATGGCAGAGGCAGCAAAGGTAGTTTTTAAAGTAATCCGCTTAAGCATGCTGTGTGGTGACAGCCAAGAGACCCCACCTTCAAGCCTCAGGGAGGAAGGGAGGTTTCAGCTTTTGGGGTCCAAATCGGAAAGCGTTGCAGTGGAGAATTAGGAGTTTGGGAGCCCCTTTTCCAACTGACACATTTTATTAAAAGGCAGCAGCTCTCGTGAGCTGTAGCTCCATCGATGCATCTGCGAGGGGTGCTCGTGAAAGTTTGTGCCTTTTAATAAAACGTGTCGGGGCCCACTGGACGCCTTTGGACTTTTTGCCCCTGCAAATTAACACAGTTCTCCTTGCAGGGGAGTTCTGCTTTGAGAATTGGACCTGGGAAAAAAGATGCGGACGAAAAGGCACCACGGAGCATCTCCGGGAGGTGATGTCCTTCTTGCTCTTCCGACCGGGGAGCACCGGGGATGCAACCCCCATTGTAGCCATTGCCCAAATCTGGGGCTTCCTGCCTACCTCTTCCTCCTGGCCCCTTGGACTGCATCCCCCATCATCCTCGCCCCCCCACCGCCCTAACCTGCCCGTAAGCATCAGAGGAAGTGAGCTGGAGAAGGCGAAAGAAGAGAAAG